TTATCTAGTAAGATTATCTGTCTGCTGTTTCCAGATTCAAAAATAGTGTTAACAGAAAATTCTAGATACAATTAATTGTGGTAAATGTGTGTGGTTGTCAGTTTTTGATATGCAGTGATCTACTTTTAATACTTCTTGGTCTCATCCACTCTGAGCCTGTTATCGCAAATTGCTGCTCCAACACTAATAATTCTTTTCTAATTACTATTTCTATTTTTTTTAACTTTTATTTTAGGTTCAGGGGCCCATGGGCAGGTTTGCTGTATAGGTCAATTGTGTGTTGCAGGGATTTGGTGTACAGGTTATTTCATCACCCAGGTAATCAGCATAGTACCCGATGGGTTTTCTGATCCTCGCCTTCCTCCCACTCTCTACCCTCAAGTAGGCCTCCATGTCTGTTGTTCCCTTTTTTGTGTCCACATGTACTCAATGTTTAGCTCCCACTTATAAATAAGAACGTGCAATGTTTGGTTTTCTGTTCCCATGTTAGTTTGCTTAGTATAATAGCCTCTAGCTCCATCCATATTGCTGTGTAGGACATGCTCCCATTCTTTTCATGGTTGCATAGTATTCCATGGTATGTAAGTACCACATTTTCTTTATTCAGTTTACCGTTGATGGGCATTCCAGTTGATTTGTCTTTGCTGTTGTAAATAGTGCTGTAATGAACATACACATGCATGTGTCTTTATGGCAGAAAAATGTACATTCTTTTGGGTGTAAACCCAGTAATGGGATTGATGAGTCTGGCAGTTCCTTTTTTTTTGTGCTTTGAGAAATTACCTGACTGCTTTCTACAATAGCTGTACTAGTTTGCATTCCCACCAGCAATGTATTTGCATTCCCTTTTCTCCCTAACCTCACCAACATCTATTCTTCTTTGACTTTTTATAGTAGCCATTCTGACTGGCATGAGATGGGGTATCATTGTGGTTTTGATGTGCATTAATGTAATGATTAGTGATACTGAGCATTTTTTCATATGTTTTTTGGCCACATGTATGGTCTTCTTCTGAAAAGTGCCTATTCATGCCCTTTGCCCACTTTTAATGGAGTTGTTGGTTTTCTGCTTGTAAATTTGTTTAAGTTCTTTGTAGATTCTGGATATTAGACCTTTGTTGGATACATAGTTTGCAAGTATTTTCTCCCATTCTGTAGGTTGTCTGCTTATTCTGTTGATAGCCTTTTTTGCTGTGCAGAAGCTCTTTGTCAATTTTCATTTTTATTGCAATTGCTCTTGGCATATTCATCATGCAATCTTTGCCAGGTTCTGTGTCCAAAATGGTATTTTTTAGGTTATCTTTCAGGGTTTTTATAGTTTTACATTTTACATTTAAATCTTCAATCAGTTTGAATTGCTTTTTGTATATGGTGAAAAAGAAGGGTCCAGTTTCAAACATCTGCATATGGCTGGCTAGTTATCTCAGCACCATTTATTGACTAGGTAGTCCCCACTGGTTTTGTTTTCAATTTTGTCAAAGATCAGATGGTTGTTGGTGTGACATTGTTTCTGGGCTCTCTATTCTGTTCCATTAGACTATGTATCTGTTTTTGTACTAGTATCATGCTGTTTTGGTTACTGTAACCTTGCAGTATAGTATGAAGTTGGATAATGTGATATCTCCAGCTTTGTTCTTTTTCGTAGGATTACCTTGGCTATTTGGACTCTTTTTGAATTCAATATGAATTTTTAATTTTTTTTCTAATTATGTGAAGAATATCACTTGTAGTTTGATAGGAATAGCCTTGAATCTGTAAATTGCTTGGGTAGTATGGCCATTTTAATGATATTAATTCTTCCTATCCATGGAATATCTTTCCATTTGTTTGTGTCATCTCTGATTTCTTTGACCCGTGTTTTATAATTCTCATTGTAGAGATGTTTCACTTCCCTACATAGCTGTATTCCTAGGTATTTTATTCTTTTTGTGGCTATTGTAAATAGGATTGTATTTTTCATTTGGCTCTCAGCTTGGATGTTGTTGGTGTAGGAATCTACTGACTTACGTACATTGATTTTGTATACTGAAGTTGTTTATCAGATGAATGATCTTTTGGGAGAAGATGGGTTTTCCAGGTATAGAATCACATTATTTGCAAACAGAAGTTGTTTATCTTCCTCTCCTTCTGTTTGGATGTCTTATTTCTTTCTCTTGCCTCATTGCTCTGGCTAAGACTTCCAGTACTATATTAAATAGTAGTAGTGAAAGAGGGCAATCTTGTCTTGTTCCAGTTTTCAGGGAGAATGCTTCCACCTTTTGCTCATTCAGTATAATGTTGGCTGTAGGTTTGTCATAGATGGCTTCTACTATTTTCAAGCACGTCCCATCAATGTCTAATTTGTTGAGGGGTTTTAACATGAAGGGATGCTGAATTTTATCAAAAGCCATTTTTGCATCTATTGAGATGGCCATGTGATTTTGTTTTTAGTTCTGTTTATGTAATGAATCACATTTATTCATTTGCATATGTTGAACCAACTTTGCATCCCAGGGATAAAGCCTACATGACCATGGTGGGATAGCTTTTTGATCGTTTACTATTAATTTGTTTAAATAATTTTAAATGATATTATTTTGTTTATAACAAAATAATCATTTACATTTTAGTATTTCAATATTTTTGCATACATGCAAAAAATAGTATTTTTGCATCTATGTTCATCAGGGTTATTGGCCTTAAGTTTTTGTTGTTGTTGCTGTGTCTCTGCCAGGTGTAGGTATCAGGATGATGCTGGCCTCATAGAATGAGTTGGGGAGGATTCCTATCTGCAAAATTTTTTGGAATAGTTTCTGTAGGAATGGTACCAGATCTTCTTTATACATCTGGTAGCATTTAGCTGTGAATCCATCTGGTCCTAGGCATTTTCTCATTAATGCACTTTTTGTTCAATTTCAGAACTCATTATTAATCTGTTCAAGGATTTGATTTGTTTCTGGTTCAGTCTGGTGAGGTTGTATGTTTCCCAAAATTTATTAGTTTTTTCTAAGTTTTCTAGCTTGCGTGCATAGAGGTGTTCGAAGTAGTCTCTGAGGGTTTTGCATATTCCTGTGGGGTCAGTGGTAATGTCACTTTTGTCATTTCTGACTGTTCATTTAGATCTTCTCTCTTTTTTTCTTTGTTAGTCTAGCTAGAGGTCTACCTGAATTATTAATTATTAAAAAACCAACTTCTGGGTTCATTGATCTTTTCTATGTTTTTTTGTGTCTCAAATTTTCGTCAGTTCAGCTCTTATTTTGGTTATGTCTTGTCTTCTGCTAGCTTTGGGGCTGGTTTCCTCTTGTTTCTCTAGTTCCTCTAGCTGTGATGTTAGGTTGTTAATTTGAGATATTTCTGACTTGTTGATGTATGCTATAAACTTCCCTCAACACTGCTTTGTCTGTGTCCCAGAGATTCTGTTACATTGTAACTTTTGTTCTCATTAGTGTCAAAGAATTTGATTCCTGCTTTAATTTCATTATTTACCAAGAAGTCATTCAGCAACACTTTCATGTATTTGTATGGTTTTGGGCAATTTTCTTAGCAATGACTTCTATTTTTATTGTGCTGTGGTCTGAGGGTCTGGTTGGTATGATTTGGGTTTTTTTTAATTTGCTGAGGATTGTTTTATGCCGGCTTGTGTGGTTGATTTTAGAGTGTGTGCCATGTGCATATGAGAAGAATTCTGTTGTTTGGGGGTGGAGAGTTCTATAAATGTCTATCAGTTCCATTGGGTCGAGTGCCAAGTCAAGTCCTGATTATCTTTGTTAGTTTTCTGCCTCAGTGATCTGTCTGATACTGTCAGTGGGGTATTAAAGTTCCTCACTGTTATTGTGTGGTTATCTAAGTCTCCTCATAGGTCTCTAAGAACTTACTTTATAAATCTGAGTGCTCCTATGTTGGGTGTGTACGTATTTAGAATAGCTAGGTCTTCTTATTGAATTGAGCCCTTTACCGTTAGGTAATCTCCTTCTTTGTCTTTTTTGCTATTTGTTGGTTTAAAGTCTGCTTTGTCTGAAATTAGGATAGTAACCTCTGCTTTTTTCTGTTTTCCATTTACTTGGTAGATTTTTCTCCAACCTTTACTTTGAGTCTATTGATCTGATTGCATGTGAGATGGGCATCTTGAAGACGGCATATTGTTGAGCTTTGCTTCTTTGTCCAACTTGTCCCTCTGTGTCTTTTAATTGAGGCATTTAGCTTGTTTACATTCAAGGTTAGTATGGATATGTGCAGATTTGATCCTGTCATTGTGTTGCTAGCTGGTTATTAGGCAGATTTATTGGTGTGGTTGCTTTATAGTGTCACCGGTCTATCTAAGTGTGTTTTTGTAATGTCCAGTAATGATCCTTTCTTTCCATATTTAGTACCTTCTCAATAACTCTTGTAAGTCAGGTCTGATGGCGAAGAATTCCCTTAGCATTTTCTTGTCTGAAAAAGATCTTATTTCTCCTTAGCTTATGAAGCTTAGTTTGGCTAAATATGAAATTCTTTGTTGGAAATTCTTTTTTTAAGAATGCTGAATATAGGCCTCCTATCTTTTCTGGTTTGTAGGGTTTCTGCAGAAAGATCTGTTGTTAGCCTGATTGGGTTCCCTTTGTAGGTGACCTGCTCCTTTTCTCTAGCTACCTTCAACATTTTTCTTTCATTTTGACCTTGGAAAATCTGATAATTGTGTCTTGGGGATGGTCTTCTTGTGTAGTATTTCACAGGTGTTCACTGCATTACTTGAATTTGAATGTTGACCTCTCTTGCAAAGTTGGGGAAATATTCATGAATGATATCCTGAAATACGTTTTCCAATTTGCTTGCTTTTTCTCCTGCCCTTTCAGGTATGTCAATGAGTCATAGATTGGTGTACTTCCAAGCTCACCTTGGCTGGACTGTCTGCTCCTAATTTCAGTGCTGGGTGCCACAGGCTCAGGGCCTCTCAGGCTCTGGGAGGAGGTGCAGTGAAAGACAAGGCCATTATGATGTCACTCCAGAGTTGCCTAGCACTGTTGCCACCTCATGGTCTCCAGCATCCAAGAAGAGTGTAGGCAGCTGATGCCAGGTCCTCCTCCTCCTCCTCTTCTTCCTCCTCTTTCTTCTTTTCTTCCCCTCTTCCTCCTCCTGTTTATTGCAGAGCACCAGAGAGCAAAGGAGCTAGAAAAGGGTGAAATCAGTTCTTTTTCTGTGACTTTTTTGCTTTGCTTTTATTAAGTTCTTAAGGCTTTTGGTCTTGAGTCCTAGATAAGATGCAAATAATTCTGAAAGGATCATAACTTTTAATATTATCAGTGGATATTTCAGGGAAAAAAGCTATAGGATAGATTGACTGATAGTAGAGAATAAAAAGAAGATTCAGAAGCGGCCATGGGGAGGCAAAGAGAGAGAAAAGAGTGGAGAGTGTGTGTGAGTGTGTGTGTGAATGTGTGTGTGAGTGTGTGTATGTGTGTGTGAGAGGGTGAGAAAGCAGGGGAGGGAGAGAGAAAGAGTGGAAATTCTAGAAAGGAATTACCTTTTCTTTCATTCAACTACTTCACTGTTTTGTCAAAATCTAGCACTGCTTCTAAGGCCTCCTGCGACTCACCCACCTACCCCTCTTACTCCATCCTATTCAACTTCTACACTAAGAGGAAAGCCCAAGCTAGACGCCTATGCGTCAATCAGAGACGCCATGCTGAGAAGAGTAAACAGGGAAACTGTAAGTGGCTGAACACTACATAGGGACAAAGAATGATTGCTTGGTTCCAAGAAGGGCCTGGCTTGACCAGATCAGGCCAGAGTTAGCCTGTTTCCAGGACACTTGGGGGTCATTAGTCCCAGAAAAGGAATCATTGCATTTGATCCTATGAGAAGCCGAGCATGCTCTCCTGATGAAACAGCATGCCAGCAGATTCAGATATTGTTCTAAGACAAAGGGGAACATATGGGAACTATTCTGAGAAGGATCGAAACTCATGATTACCCCACAGATTGACCCAGGCAATTTAATCATTGCAAGGGCAATGTACAAGAACAGCATTTTATTAATATAATTTTCCTTTTTCTTTAACACAACTGGTCATTCTTTTCAAATTATGCTGTGTGGGTCCAACAAAGCACAGCAGAAGAAATACTTGCTTTTGATTAAATGCATTGTTAGTTTCTTTGAAAAGGAAATTATCCTCAAAAACATAATATATTTTGTTTACGGAAATCACCTCAAAAGTAAAGCTGAGAAGAATTTCATACCAGGAATCTCAACTTTTTAAAGAAGAAAGAAGAGGCGAGAGTTGAAAATTCTTCTCCATAATATTGTATGTCTGGAAAAACTTAACACTTTTAAGAAAAAATGGCATGAATAAAACAATGGTGTGAAAACTCCTTTTTTTCAAAAACATATACACATGTATGATTTGGAGAGAACATCTGCTTTTGTCAACTGTGTCAGAGCCCTCCATTGGGTGCACTGATACTACTCATCTCAGCCTTCGTGGCAGAATGAGTTCTAGTAAAATCATGCATATGCTAACCAACATTAAGGAGTCATCTGAGTTCCCTTAATATTAGCATATTTCTCTCCCCTAGGAAAGGGTATAGATGAGAGTGAAAGTTAAAAAGAAGGAACAAGACCATATTCTTGGCTGTCACTTAGAATGAATCAGAATAGTTGAAGCAATAGCACAGGCATTTGCTAAGTACCCATGCTCAACGGTCAACCAAAAAAGATTTATTAACATCTCATGAAACTAAATCATGAAATGTCTGCATCGCAAACTTATTTGTATTCATAATTATTCTATTTGGTCCACTACCAAATCATACCTGTGTATGTGTTTTTCAAAAAANAAAAAAAAAAAAGGACTAAAAGAGGACTAATACCATTGTTTTATTCATGCAATTTAAAAAAATAAAATGTTAAGTTTCACCAGACGTACAATATTGAGAAGAATATTTTTCAACTCTTGTCTATCCTTTCTTTTTTAAAAAGTTGAGATGCCTGGTGTAAAATTCTTCTGAACTTTATTTTTGAGGTAATTTCTATAAATAAACTAAAATGTATTATGTTTTGCAGATATTTTTCCTCTCAACTAAAACAACTATTTTAATCAGTATTTAGCAAGAAAATATCTACCTGTTTCATCTTCACTGGTTATTTCCATAAACTTGAAAGAATGACTGTCTAAATGGTAGTTATATCTCATGAGATGTTTAAGCAAAGAGGAAAAATATACAAAAGAAGAATATCATATTTTGCCTGGACCACCAGGATGACAATAAAAATTTATTATGGTGGAAAGTAATGCCATGGTATCCAAACAGGAGCTGCTGAGATGTTGGTCCATACTGAGAGGACCACAGCCCTTGCCTCCATGAATTCAGATGCCATCTTGTCCTGGGACTCCAAACCAAATGACATTGTTTAGGCTGTACCCTAGAACCAGATATGCCTAAGAAGGCAAATTATTTGGAGAGACCTACCAAGGATTCTAATCTACTTTGGTCAGTGTCACTCAGTTTGACATCGACTGTTGCAGGGAGCTAACAGAACTTACTTCAAGATGACTAAGAAAAGTCCAGGGAACTCAAGTATTTGAATTCAGAAAAGCCACTTTATTGTGGCAGCCAAAAACAATGTAGATTTCTTGATGTAGACTTATCCAAAATCCAACAAAATAAGAACTAGGAAACACCAGTTAAAGTATATGAATGGCTTTGATCTAAATAGCAGAAGAAGTAAACTCAGTAAGCATTTGTTATTTTGAAATGCTGAGTCACAGGCTAAAGAAGGGCTTAGTTAAAATCATGGTTTGTGGATCCATAATATTAAAAAGAGATGGTGACATTTGGTATGCATTTTGTGGTTGATATCAACAAGGTTAATAATATCCTTCTATAAAACAGGACTTGTTTCTTAGAGTTTCAAAAGGACTGAAAGGTCATATGGTTCAGTCTCCTAATCTTAGAGAAAAAAATAAGACCTTTAGAGGCTAAGACTTGAATAAGATCCCACAGTGAGCTAATGACTCAAACTAGGTGCCAGACCAAGGCACTGATTCTCAGTAGTGGTACTTTTCTTCAGAGCGGTATTTCCCAAATTGTGTACCTCAAATTTCTTGGTGTGATTAAACGCACACACACACACACACACACACACACACACACACCCTTATCTATCTATATCTTTTCTTAGTGATTCACAATGTCACACGCACCCTTTATCTATCTACTTATCTATCTATCTATCTATCTATCTATCTATCATCTATCTATATCTTTTCCTAGTGATTCACAATGTACATTATCTTATTTAAAAATCTGAGTAATCTTTTAGTAAAGATATCTGTTTAACGTTACTAAGCTCAACTCTTCCCAAACTTACTTGATCATGAAGCCATTTTTGCCACTCAATAATTCATTAACATCTCATGAAACTAAATAATGAAATGTCTGCATCAAAACCTCATTTATATTCATAATTATTCTATTTGGTCCACTGGTTCATTTTTTTTCAACCTGGTTAATTCAAACTAGAAAGACGAGCAGCAAATAAAAATAGATTCTTAAATAAAACCCCAACAGTTTCATTCATTCAACCAACTCATCACAGTAACAGTGAAATCCCAAGGTTACATGTACACAGACCAGCTGCATGGCACAGAGCCAATGGTGATCTCTATATTTTTATACAATTGCAAATCAGTTCAGCATTGCCCCACTTTTTTCAAAGGCAGATGGTCATAACATTAGATGTGTACCAACTGATTTAAAGAAAATTGTCCTTGACACTTACAGACTTTTTTTGTATAAAACAGAAAGTGAGTATCCTATACAACAGAGTTATGTCTGTAGATTTTTGTTGTATCAAGAGTACACTTAGCTTTAGCGGTAAATCTTTATCTCTAAATAAAATGAAAGGAGATTCAAGTCAATATCTTATGGAGATTTATAAAAGCTTCATTCTATTTTAAAACCTATTCATCAGTTCCTGTGGCATTGTCATTTCACCTTTGCGAAATGAGAATATTAGGCTGTCAAACTGGTATGGAAATTCTTAAGTGTTTATATAATCTTCTGGCTTAAGAGAACAGATCTGGAAAGGCATCACTTGCGTTTGTCAAATGTGGCAGAGCCTTCTAATGCTACTCATCTCATTCCTCATGGCAGAATGATTTATAGTAGAATCATGCATATGTCAACTGACATTGAGGAGTCATCTGAGTTCCCTTGAGATTAGCACATTTCCCCCTCTCCCTCTCTCTCTTTCTCTCTCACGCGTGTGTGCGCACATGCGCGCGCGCACACACACACACACACACACACACACACACAAATGCTTGGAAGGTACTTGACAGACACTAATGATTAATTTTATGTATCAACTTAACTAGATCGAGGGGTGCCCAGAGAGCTGGCAAAACATTATTTTGGGGTATGTCTGTGAAGGTGTTTCTGGAAGACATTAGCATTTGAATAAGTAAACTGAGTAAAGAAGATCCATCCTCTTTGGATGGATGTGGCAGTCATCATCTAATCCATTAAGAGTCTGGATAGAACAGAAAGGTAGAGAAAGAGCTAATTTTCTCTCTACCCTGCACCCGGTCCCCTGATCTGGAACATCCATCTTCTCTTGCCCTCAGACATCAGTGCTACTGGTTCTTGGCTCTTTGGACTCCAAGATTTATACCAGTGCCTCCTTTCTTGATTTTCAGGCCTTTCCCTACTCCTCCTGGTTCTCAGTCCTTCAACCTTGAACTGGGAGTTGAACTGTCAGCTCCCCTGGCTCTCAAGCCTTCAGACTTGAAGTACATTACACCCTTGGCTTTCCTCATTCTCCAGCTTGATGATGGCATATCGTGGGACTTCTTAGCCTCCGTAATCTTGTGAGCAGATTTCCATAATGTGTGTGTGTGTGTGTGTGTGTGTGTGTGTGTGTGTGTGTGTGTGTACACATATCCTATTGATTCTGTTCTCTAGAGAATCCTGACTGACTGATACAGACTTTAGTACTGACAACGGTTCTTTAAAAAAAATAGAATTTTAAGGATGACTCTTCTGAATTGATTTTGGGTTTTCCAGGGTTAGCTCTCTAATTAGATTTTAAAATGTTAATGACTTTAATTTCCAGTAGTGAAAAAAGGCACTGACTGTCTATGGCATGATCTGGTTATAGAGATATGCAAAATATCTGCACTGGATATTCCTAATCAACCACTTATACGAAGTAAGGAACTGGGTACTCCGTTAACCTTCTCAGATGGAGGCACAAGACCTTATTTTATGTCTGACTGAATTACAACACAAGCTAAACTCACAGCTTCACAGCTTGTCTACTATTATAGTGAGGATATTCATTGGGAATAAATAGGATCCTGTAAGTTGAGATTGGGACATATGGAAAGACACAATGAGGTTGGAGACATTGAGCCCTAAATTTGGGTAAATCTTCTTTGCCAGTGGAAGAGGTCTCTTCATCCCTAGCAAAAGCAGCCTCCCACCAATCCCCAGTGGTATCAGCCTCTCTGCCTCCATCTGAGCGGATTGAGCCTGCCTTGCCTGAGGAAATGGTAATGGCCTCCCATAAGGCAGTTGCCATTCAAGACAGTATCAGTTCTCCTCAGGACCCACCCCTACCCCTTTTTGCTTCTAGACCTATAACTAGACTCAAGTCCCAGCAGACTCATGAGGAGGTACACTACACTCCAAAAGAACTACTTATGTTTTTAATTTATACAAGCAGAAATCAAGGGAACCCACATGGGAATGGATGTTAAGGGTGTAAAATAATGGTAGAAGGAGCATAAAATTGGATGAGGCTGATTTGATTGATATAGGTCTACCAAGCAGAGATTCTGCATTTACTGATACAGCTCAGAGAGTAAGAAAGGGCTCTGTCTGTCTGGTGGTTAGTTGGCTGAAACATGGTTCAAAAGACAGCCTACCTGCCTAATCTCCTTTGCTTTAATGTAGATGAGGGGATTCAAAGGCTTAGAGAAACTGGAATGTCAGAGTGATTTCTCATTTAAGACCTACATTTTACTAAATTTATTTTGAGAAATACATTTATGAGATCCCTATCATCGTTGAAGACATCCGTGATTGTTCTTCTTTGTGGGCCAGACCTTGGAGTGTGAACTACAGTCACTCAATTGGAAAACCTAAATGCAATGGAAGTAATTGAATCTCAAGCCAGTACTCAACTGCCAGAGGCAAGGTGACTGCAGTTACCATAAAGGACAACAGCAATCAGAATAAGACTATTCTCAGGGAACTATGAGGATAGCTAGTTAATAAAGTGTTCTTAGAAGTGAAATAGGAAGGCTACTAAATTCTTACTTGATTCTGTAGAAGCAGATAGCGAATAAAAGTCTATCTCATACAGACAGAGAGTCACAGACCTTCCGTTAACTCCCAGACTTGAGCCACTTTGCAGACCCAGAACTCCTTGAATGAGGAGAGACCAGGTGCCCTCTAAGGAGGAGCAAAATTTTATACTGTTAATTTTTCTCTCTGCTTTCCCTAAAGGGACCCATGGCCTCTTAAAAGAGTAACTGTGCATTGAAGAAAAAGAAATAATCAGATCTTTGAATAACTGTTGGACAATGGTTCTCAACTAAAGTTGTGAAAGTTTACTTTTGAATGATGTGGGGTTTGGGGTGCTGATTCCTGCACAATTGAAAATCAGCACAAAATTTTTGACTCCCAAAATACTTAACTACGAGTAGACTACTGTTAACCAGGAGCCTTACCAATAACATAATCAATTAACACATATTTTGTATGTTATATGTATCATATACTGCATTCTCACAATAAAGCTAGAAAATATGTTATTAAGAAAAATCACAAGGAAGAGAAAATATATTTACTATTCATTTAAGTAGGCTTGAATGGCTCATCATAAAGGCCTTCATCCTCATCATCTTCATGTCAAGTAGGCCGAGCAGGAGGAGGAAGAGGAGCCAGTTGGTATTGCTGACTTAGAGGCAGAGGCAGAAGAGGTGGAAGAGGTAGAAGGCAGGCAGGAGAGGCTGTCATATTCGGTGTAACTTTGAGAAAATACACTGTAATTTCTGACATTTTTCCTTTTTCAACTCTCTAAAAATGTTTCTTTATGGTACCACACCTTCTTTCACTGTTTGCTTTAGGTTCAATGCCCATAAGGGTCCATATCATAAAATAAGTCAAAAAGCAATCTTGAATAATCAGAATGCTACTGCCAGATTGTCTCATGCACATTTGTTTCTTGGCGTTACTTCTTCTATGTCTCTTCCTCATCATCTGGCACTGAT